TCATCTATACCGTCTGGTCCATGGTAACATCCAGTACCACCGCCCTATTTTCGGAGCACTTCGATCTCAACAATCTGGAACTCGGATTGATCTTCTTGCCAAATGGCGCCGGTTGCATCAGCGGTTCCTACCTCACGGGCTATCTCATGGACTACAACTACAAAGTCGTCGAGTCTCGTTACCGCAAACAACACAACATTCCGGCCGATATTCAAATCAAGGCCAATGAACTGCTGGATTTTCCTATCGAAGTCGCAAGAATGAGGAACATTTGGTGGATTGTCATAGTTTTCGTTATTACCACGGCCCTTTACGGCTACTCACTGAACCTCGAAATTATTGCTCTTCCACTGGTTCTGCAATTCTTTATTGCATACACGGCTACTGCGGTCTTCTCTTCCAACAGCGCCTTGATCATCGACCTTTACCCCGGTAAATCGGCAAGCGCTACCGCTGTAAACAACCTCAGTAGATGCTTGTTGGGAGCAGCTGGTGTGGCTGTAGTGCAGCTGATTATTGATGCATTAGGTTCTGGGGTGACATTTTTGATATTCGCTGGAATAACTTTCGCGTGCACTCCATTGTTGATGTTGGAGTGGTATCACGGAGGAAGATGGAGGTCGGAAAGAGCCGAAAAGTTGAAGAAAAAGGAAGAAGCCAAGCGCGCAACAGACTTGGAGGGATGAGACTTGCATATGTATATCCCAAACAGCAAATTATGTCATCGGGTCAAGAGAATGACAGAGGTCACGGATGGACAGAAGTGGACCTCTGCCTCTGATCTTGAGACATCTGTGGTCTTGCCACCATTATTAGAGTGTGTGGAGCTCCGCATCCTATGATCAGACCTGCTTATGGCAGCTCATTGACGATGGAAACTTGGATATCACAAGTTCCTCGAACACCTGGAGCAGATCAAAAGATCATGCCAAGAGAAGTAGACCTGTCTTCAAGGCCTAATAAAAGGGCCTTGATAAAGAGAATGAGGGGATACTGGGCGTTGTTGTAATATCATTGCAGTCGTCATAACCCGGATTATTAGATAGATGAAAAAGATACCATAACGAAACGTTTCAATTATTTAACATTAGCTGCTGTTATGAATTTGCTGCGTGCTATGTATTTATGCTACCTGAACCTCAGTGATGATTTCAGTGAAAAGCATTCACTGTCCAACATACACACTAGCTACCTAGCATTAGGTAGTCATTAAGAGCTATATCTCTCCTGAATTCGCAGTCTCAACACGATAGTAATCACAATGAACGCTCCCGTACAATTACAATAACTTCGAGTACAAAAGTCGTGATTGTTGCAGATTTCGCGTTTGTCTCAACTACTTCAATTCCAATGGGAGCGCTTACGAATATGCCAGCCCCTTTCTTCACCGCTTAACTAGAGCTCAAAGATAGGTAGATACACTACGCTCATTGAAATCCTTCATGGGGCATCGTAGCCTAGAAATCAGACGGATAGTCGACGCTAATCAACACTAAACTTCAAACCCTGCATCTGTGACGTTGAATGATTCTCACAATCCTTTCAACTATTGGCAATAATTAACGGGACCTGATTCTAAGGCTGAATTAGATTGTTAAGGGTCTCTTGGTATAAAATTGTGTCAAGGTAGTGCAGGGGTAATTAGGGGTCACTCTTGTCAGGGTTCTTTTGGTTACTGAGTATTATTGTTTGGATTTAATTTCGAAATTTGCGAGATCCATAAATCGAGTCAGGCTGGAAAACGGGTTTACAATGATTTATGAGGTAGCGAGGTAAATGGTCAACAAACTATTGCAATGTACGATTTATGATAGTGCACGAAAGTATAGCCAATGACTACGCGTTTTAACGAGAATTGCGATGATTTCGAAATCTACATATATTAATCTACAACAAAGGCTTGGACATAGGAGCAATGATGCCTTGTTTGACCATAATTCTCGGCTTGGTCGAGTCCTGGAAGGTCTCCTTGGTAGCCCATTCCGGACCAACTGGCAGTCGTAATGAGCGCTCGTATTGTTGGCGGTTTTCGAAAGGATGAGGTAATTGTGATGCATAGTATTTACCATTCTAAAGTTTTCGTTAGTAACTGAAAAAACAGGAACAGCTGTATTCTACGTACCTTCTTGACACGTTTTTCGTTGATGATAACGCGGTCAAGCTTTGCATCTTTCCTGTTCTGCTCCTTGATACCCTCAGACTTGGTAAGGAATCTTCCCTTATTCTTTGCCTTTTCTCTTTTGCTCACGCCGTCTCCTACCCAACTTCCCCAACCGGGGATGGTGTTATCGATGACTTTCTCATCCTCATCCTCGATGGTCTGCTTTTTCTCCGCTTCAAAATCACCGACGACATCAGCTCCAGCGAAGGCACGCTTGATAAGCTCCTGGTCTTTGATTGCGAATGGAAGATGAATAGCGCCATCATCCTCACTATCTTCATCAGAAGCCTCAAGAATCTGGGCTGTCTTTGACTTCGCCTTCTTGGATTTGGGTTGCTTGGCCATTACAGCAGCTTGTGACAAATCAAGCTCTTCGACATCCATAGCACTGTTGCTCTTATGTCTGCGTTTGTTTGCCTCCTTTTTGCTGACCATACCCGATTTCAGAGGTACTTTTGACCAAGCTCCACCTTCAGTAGCCACCTCTGGTTCGGCGACAGATGACTTTCCAAGACCTCCGCTCGAGCCGTTCGTCTTCTTTGCCTTTGGTGCACTAGCAGCTGCTTTAGGATTATTGTCAACCCCTGTGAATTCTACATCCATGTTGTCCTCATCCTCCGAGTCTGCAGGTTCTTCGAATTCATTCAAGTTTTGTGGTTTTGTCGGAGCATCTTTAACTTTAGAGCCAGGCCCAAATGTTCTACGCCCAATATCGCCATCTTCTTCCTCTTCACTAGAGCTTTCTTCCCCTGCGAGCTCCTTTCTCATTTCCTCGACCATAGCATCATTTGCCTTCTTGCGAGATTCTTCGGCATTCCGCATAAACTTCATATTTGCCAACTTTGCTCCTGGAGCGGAGTCGTCAATGATATCGTCTTTTCCTGCCCTTTCCAGGCGCCTAAGAAGTCGTTTCTGCTCCGTTCCTTCGTCGTCATCGCTCATATTATCATCAGAATCGTCCATGGATTCATCCGAGTCGTCTTCAAACTCTTTTCTCACTGCTCTTCCTTCCACTCTCTTTCGCAATTCCTCCTCTCTTCGAGCCATTTCAGTGATACCGTCCCTAGCATCTTCATCCCATGCCGCTCGACCTGTAGCTTTTGTGGCTTTGGCCCACTTACTGTTTCGGTGCTTTGCTCCCATTCTCTCAGTCGCACGTCTTCTGTCCTGAGCCTCAAGCTCATCTTCAGAAGGAACAAAACCGCCCTCTTCAAGAGCTGCTTTGTTTTTCGCCTCTTCTCTTTCACGTTGCTTTCGATGGACTTTACGATAAGACTTGCTCTTGATTTTCTTAACCCTCTTCGCCTTAAGCTCTTCTCGGTAAAGGAGCTCTCGAGCCATTCGTAACTGATCTCTACGAGCTTTCACTTCCTCCATGGATAGTTTGTTCATTTCCAATTCCTCAAACTCTCGGATTTTATCCTCGCCATCTCTTCCACCCGCAGTGGCGAGTCCACTCTCCTCAAGAATACTCTGGATCGTGGCCTCAAGTTCATTGAATGGCTTGGATTGTGCTGTAGATTGAAGTCGAGTGTTTGCGCGTGCAGAATCCGCATCTGGATCCGCCAAGGGGAAAATCAAGTGGTCTGCTCGTCGATTATGTTTTACCGTGTCTGTCCATCTATCCAAAGTTTCTTTACTCTTGTCGTACGCTACACTGCGATCGAGTCGGTCTTGTTGACGCCTTGCGAGAGGCACTTCTAACGTGCTAGCAGCCTTTTTTTTGTCATCGCCCTTTTCAGACTTGAGAGCCCTTTTAATTGAACGATCGTTGATCTTGCTTGGGCCAAGGTCTGTGATGAATTCTTTTGTCGATGGGAGACCAAAGTTTCCGGGGGTAGCATATTCGCTCACGCCATCATTTCGTCGTTTGGCGAGGGCTTTTTCATTGAGTGGAAGATTCGCAATTAAATCTTGTAGTGCCGCGTGTTTCGACGGATCCATAGAATCATCTTCATCTTCGTCATCGGCAGATGATGCGGAAGACTCTTCGTCGCTTTCTCCATCTTCGTCGTCAAAGCCGGATTGGTCTGAGCCTTCGACCTTGGCTTCATCCTCATCGTCTGACGAAGCGTCTAACATATCTGCGAGATCAACAGCACCCTCTCCTAAATCACCTTCCTCCAATTCTGATCCGGAGTCCTCCCCATCATCATCCTCATCTAGATTTAATTCTTTATTTTGCGGCATGCGCTTCTTGGAGCTCTTATTATTACTCGAACTCCCCGAAAACGCATATCCTTCGAATCTTTCCTCGTCACTCTCTCCAAAAGCTTCGTCACTGTCAATATCGCTATCGTCATCGCTGTCCACCACACCCATTTTCCATGTGTTCCCTTCACTATCGCTTCCCTCGTCGATATCTAGCTCATCGAATCGACCTTTTGCTGGTCCCTTTTTTTGTTTTTTTGCACTGAACTCTTCGTCTTCTCCCTCATCTTCGTCGTCTTCATCTCTATCTCGCTTCCCAGGTCTATTACCGCCTTCAGCGTGACCTAATCGACTTTGTCTTACTCGATGGCGTTCACCAATTTGTTGCTGTGCGGCAGAAAATGCATCGATAGTCTTATTCTTCGATTTTGTTCGAACTTTGGGCTGCTTCAACAGCGATCTGCCATGCGATTGTCTTCCAGGCATGATTGCGCTTTAAAAATTATTGTCGCAATATTTTGCTAGAAGCGTTGATTATCTTTTATCAATTTTATCGGGAAACTTTTTTTCTGCTAATGTAGAAAGGCGGTGACCTAATCAGGTAGTACAAGATCGGATAATGCGGCCGCCGGACGAACCTTAGCGTCTAAGACAATTTTGGAGAAGCATCTTGAGTCTGCAAAATCCAAAGTAAACTCCTAAACATCAATCGCAATCATGCAGCCCACACAATGCCTAATGAAACGGGTAGCCCGACATGCTCTGAGTACGAAGAAAGCAAATAAAGGGTTCTACAAGGGTACTGGAAGTGGTTCAACCGGTCGACATACACAACATGGAGGGTACATAATCGAGTGGGATAAAGTCAGGACATACGTTGTGCCGCCAAATCTTAAGGAGTGTAAAGTACGAATTCGTAGAGATCAATCTGGAAGGCTTCACGGGGCGCTGACTGCGATTTAGCTTACACCATTTGTCACAAAAAAGATATTGCCGCCGAGAGGAAGATTCGAAAATGATCCCAAAGGTGCTTTCAGTGGAGAAGCATACCTGCGGAAGTGGAAGGACATTTCGGATGGAATGACATAAATAATTGGTGTGAAATGGTATGGGCGCTTTTCTACTTCTGCGGGTTCTTTTACTAAATATTCTTAGGGTTTATGGGAAAACGGCGTTGACAATTGTATCAAAAAATGTATCAAAACGATAACATGAATATCATACCCCTCGGATTGAAACCTGGAGCGTGAGATGAAGTTGCGCATGTTCATAGTATCTGAAAATCGGGCGTATACTGTGAAGTGGACATACTTGATAATACTGGCCAGCTCAAATTGAGCAGCCAAGTTGTTCATTGGTTATTGTAATGAACGCTGTGATTGGCATGCGATGTTATCTCTGTATATGGGCTTCCGTTGTCGAAATCTATTCTAAAGCAGGACGTATTCACGAAATCTTATTTTGTTTTTCAAGCCGAACTACTTATGAGATACGCCAGGGTTCTCAGTGGAACATGAATTCAGTATTAACTTATTTGTCTTCTGGGAGTGCTAAACCAAGGAGTTGCCCAGGTACTTGAAGTTCATTAAATGCCCTCTTTTTGGTTGAAGTGCAATTATGTCTCCAAATCCATCCCTCAACATGCTTGCAATATGGAGGTGTTTCAAGGGGGATTGGTCTCCCCCCTCCTGTCGGATTTCATCTCTCGACATTGTATACTCTCCTCAATAAGACCTTACGGTTTTCTACTCGTACTGCAATCTACCACCATGATTGTTACCAAATCATAAAATCGACACCCATTGTGCAACTCCAAAGTCTAATATTACATCCTTGCTTCTCTTGTACTACTACTATTGCAATCAAACCTGGCGACCAGCTCTGACAGACTTCTGATATCTTGGGATCGTGTGAAGAGCAATTGGCAATTCAAATCCCGTCGGCGACGAATGTAGATCGACCCTATTGTCGATGTATCTATCAAATTTGGATTAGAAACTTGCCATTGTCACAACTCGTTCTAAAGACTTATACATGCTTCCCATTCTTGTACCAGCTAACCTAGTTTCTAACTTAATTCATACACCCGCAGAAATTGACAACAACTTATCGGTGTAGAATTCGCGTTTTGGTGGATGACTGTTTTCAAGGTATCTCAACGGGATATTTTCTTGATTCAAAACACTGAAATCTAATCCACTTGCCAACAATTTCAGAAAATAGCACAACGGCATCTCTCATCAAACTCCTATCTACACCAGCGCAAACCTGGGTACTCTAATATCGCACGCCTGATTCACGCGGGGTGAAATGACCGTTCCGTAATCTTGGGGCGCGCCTAGATTAAGATGTCGCACAGCATCATCTAACTTAGGCGGTTCAAGAGGCATCGTAGTCAGCGTCACATCGCGTCACTGGCAAAAAAGCCAATGACGTAGTTAACAGATCGAGACATTCTCCACTGCAAAGTAAACGCAGCACGGAACTTCACTGCTCGACAACGAGTTCCAAAAAATGGTGGCAACGATTCTCATAACAGGATGCTCTCGAGGGCTAGGCTTGACTCTTGCTGCCGAGTTCTCGAAGGCTGGTCATTTGGTCTTTGCAACTGCTCGAGGCGATCCCACTCCCGCCCTTGAAGAATTGATAAAGTCATCTCCAAGCACCGTCAAGTACATGAAGCTCGATGCCACCAGTAGATCGAGTGTACAAGAAGCGGAGAGGCAGGCTGCTGCCCTCTTGGACGGTAAAGGCATCGATGTTTTAATCAATAATGCTGGAGTAATAAATTGGATGACGACTGGAATACATGCCATGTAAGTCTCATACAGATTGTTTCACTTCTTTCAGAACATATGTTTTGAGATACTAACTCCTTGATTTCTCAGGGATGATCTTGATTCCGTACTCAATTCGAATGTCACAAGCGCTCATATCGTCACCAGCACATTTCTTCCTCTCTTAAAGCGAGGCGCTCAGAAGAAAGTCATCAACATGTTAGTAGCCAACGTATTCTACGCTTGAAAGAAGATTCTGACAATGGAACTCAGGAGCAGCAGTGGTGGTTCAATCGAGCGGTCCCCTGTTTACAGTTCCATGGCAATTCCAGCCTACAAGGTTTCGAAGGCCGCCTTGAACATGCTTACAGTTCAGTATGCGCAGTCTTATGCCGAAGAAGGGTTTACTTTCCTTGCAGTCAATCCTGGCGTAAGTTCATTGCTGCATTTCACAATGCTCGAAATCCACTCCGATGAATGCGGACTCAAAATCAGAGATAGGCTAACTTGGGAGATTAGTGGCTTCGAACTGATCTAGGAGGCGCCTCCGCAGATCTCGATGTAGAAACTGGCGCAAAGGCTGTTGTTGAACTTATCGAATCAAATGGAAAGGAGTCGAATGGCAAGCTTTTAAACATTCGAGTAGCAGGCTGGGAAAAGAATGAGGGGATCAACCAGTACGATGGCAATGTTTTGCCTTGGTAATATGACAGTAGGGATGAGCCATACCATTAGTCTGGAGAAATTGCATATGTTGGACAGGTCACGTATTCACAATTGAAATTCCGTATCGGTGTGCTGTTGGCAAATCTGGTGAAGCATACCCATGCGCACAATACAAGGCGTATCTAGTGATGCGATTAAATGATAGCTACTGAAAATTGGCTGCCTTTTCTAGAACAGAGACAGTCCCCTACGTCACAAAGATTTGTTAAATAGCAACTCGGTTACATAGGAACGAAGGAGGTTTGTTATCTTAGCAAGTCCTAGACCATAGAACATAAAGTCTCCTTCGAAAAGCTCCTTGTTTCATCACTACATCTAACAAAATAACAAAGCTTTACATCTCCCTTTAATAGGTGACTATGTGAGTATCTCGGTTCTCTCAAAAGTATCAGCGAATATTTCTGGTCAGCCCATTTTGCTGTGGGATATTAGCATAGATATCATCCATCACCTGTGGATCTTGTTAGGGACCTTACAATAAAAGAATGTGTTCACATTGTATATTTCAATAGATCCCCCGATCGCCTATCGATTTATCGTCGCGGTTTGCAATGAAAACAGGAAGACCCAGGCGCCATTATAGAGTCGTTCAAAAGAGAGCTGAACCTATTACTATATCATCTTAAATATTAACATAGCAGCAAAATATAAAGCGTGGACGCAACCAAGAAAATACTCAATATCTTCCACATACCGAAGATGATACTATAGATTTTCTTGTTCGTCGAATATTCGTGACACTGGATATTCTTGTTTTCCAGCCTCATAGATCGCCGAAATATCGTCACCAATTTGCACTGATTCTACTTCATAGATAGGTAGCGAAGGATGATAATTCAGATCACGAGCTTGAACAATTAAAGTTAAGCTAAACAAATCACTTGACTTTTACTAATTCTTCAATACGAAGCGAAGTACCTGAATTGTGAAAATTTACACCAGAAATAAGCCATGGAATTGGCATTGTTATTTCCAGATGATAGATGGCACTTCAATCATTCATATTGGGTGTTCATACCTCGAGCATACCATACCTATTCGCAGGAGAAAAAACAGGCGGGATTCGATCACTTCTACAATATCTTTTATAATTCAATTACTTTTCTTCAATATTATATAAAATAGAATTTCGAAATGTTATCTAAACAATAAGGAGCTAAAATCTCTTTTGATCTCTTTGAATTTATATAAATTATTTGTAAATGATTTATTATTCAATTAAACTAGAGGATTTTAATGAAGATTTAAATTGTCAAATTCCGCCTGTTTTTTCTCCTGCGAATAGCATACCTACCACCCCACCCACGTGCCATCTTTCAGATGATGTTGATTTACGTTGTATCACGTGAACATCTATCCTCTCTTGGCACTCCATCGATGGAGATGAGTTGTGCACAGGCGACGCGGACAAATTGTTTGAGAAACATTTGACAACATCTTTTCTTTTCGAAAGACATCAATACATTCTCAGGTTCTCTCTAACTAACGAGCGACATAGTACAGTGAACTATACATGTTAGAGATGAGTTGAATTGGATCAGGCCGAGGTAGGAAGACGGGAGGTTGGCCTAAGGTTAAGGTCAAGTGTAAATCGCAAAACATTCAAGCGGTGCCAGCCTACTCACCTGTGTCCCAGGTAGCATTCTCATCAAATGGGTGGAATTCCAATGTCTATTCGTTATTTTTGTTCCGAGTATTCGTCTGTATATATCACACATCTTTAATATTTGGTTTATATTCATAATTGTATCTCTTTGAAAAGTTTCAAGAGACATTCATCATACTATTATAGTCACACATGTTATACATACCATGCATGCACCTGAGCCCTAAAAGTAAGACATTTTCTTGGAGCTTCCAATGACACAATTGATTAGTTCAGGAAAGATGATCACAAAGTCGCGCTCATCTGATACTTATTGAGGATTTTTAGAAAACGATTGCAAAATATGTTGTCCTTCTCTTATTTTTACTTTCACTTATCTCCGAAGTTTTGGAGGTTTATGGAAAAGTCGAGGTGTAAGATTTTGCATTCCTCGACTCAACTAGACTTTCTTCGAAAAAATTCCCGGCCCCAAGACATTCTGACCATTTTCCAGACACGCGACCAACGCGCCTCCATCAATCACCAAAATATCCCCCTTTTGATATCTCAATCTTATTTCCATGATGATCATACATCATTCAAGTAGTGATGTATCACACTACTATACTGACGTCGATTGACAGGACGCCCGTCAGTAGTATAAATCTGATGATACACAACGGGCCGAATGTACCTTCCTCGAGCTTCATGATGCCGAACTTTCTCGTCATTCCACAAGTATTGAATTTTTGCCAATTCGCAACCAGCGTGCTCGGTGATTGTCATTCTGACACAAACCTATTGAATTACTCACGTTCGAATTATTATCCTATCACCTATTAGAATCTTAATTGTTGTTATCTAAAATAATAACAAGCATACCTAGACGGGAAGTCTCTCCTCATTTTACAAGCACGCTCAATTTGCCAGTGATGTTGAGATGAAGAAGTGAATGATGTACTTAAATTAGACTTCAAATTACACTCGAGTTATATCATTTGACAGAAGCCGAGAAATCACTTAAGAACCCTTAACTCTTACCACCTTCTTTCTCTTATCCCTCAATCTACTTGCACTATTCCTAGTGTTTTGGTAGTTAACAAGTTTCAAGTATGAAGCAAACTATCAGATTTCTTGTTCCCTATATTCTTGCCGCAATTGTGAGCGGTGCACCTTTTCCTCAAGGACAAGGCGACCATACCTCGCTAATCACAAAGAACATACATACTGTTCAACCCAAGTCTCTTCTCCGGGACGAAACTTCTTCAGATGGATTCCTATTTCTTTCATCGCCGGGTGCGATGCTAAGTTCTTCCATTAAAACGACGACGGTCATTCCATCCGTCTCCGTGCTGACCACTTCCTCAATCTCCGGCACTGTGCAGGTTACAGTGCAAGTTCTACCCTCCCCGACTATCGGTTCTTTCGACACAACAGGAACAGTTATTTCCAGTCTCGAAACATCTGGTCACGCTACCGATCCTCCTATAATTACGTCGTCCATCCCTTCACCCACAACTCGGATGGCCCCTACTGCTCCAACGCCAGTCAATTTTAAAATCAATACCGTTGCAGCAGATGCCAATATCTTCCAGCCAATCGACACCTCACCTCCTCCGTCTAATCTAGGCTCTCGTTCAGATCATCCAGTACCTCGGCTAGGAATCAAAGCA